GTGGAGCTGAAGTTTGTGTAGAAGATGAACGAGTCCAGGAAAAGAAACAGGCTGAAGGATTTAGGTTTGTGACTGTGGATAAGATGTTGGACAGAGAACTGCAGATGTTCACAGACACAGAAGGACTGAACTTTAATGTGCAGGCCCAACACCAGAACACCAGCATGTAGTCCAGAAACCTCCCAGCATGTAGTTTCAACCCATGAACCAACGTTTTGGTGAAAGTACAGCAGAGGAGAGGAGAGCCGTTTGAATTTCCCGCTCTGCCGCCTACAGGGGAATGCATAGCTGTGGAGTCTCAAGGGGGAGCTGGCTGAAGTGAAAAGGCTGTGATGAGAGCATTGTGAAGCCCCAAGCAGCTACAACCACGCCTACCACGGGTTTTGTATTCAGGGAACACTGACATGCAAAGTTCTTGTATCAGATGTCCCCGGCTGCAGCGTGCTGATTGGCTGCACGGTGTCACTGCTCTACTTCTGTTGTGTTGCTATGAAGCTGGACTTTTCCTCCAATCTGCGTCCTGTTGAAAAGCTCCCAGCTAATTGAAAGGAATGAGGCGGTCGGTTTTGGGTTGGAACGGGGAAAGAGATCATGATGTTTGCCATTACGTCTGTAATTGTTCCTGGTGTAATGCTTGGCCTCCTTCCTGCTCCGTCCCTGGTGATCAGAGCCCGGCCTCTCGCTGGGGAAAAGCCTCGCCACAGATACAGTCGGCTTCAGGCAGCAGCTGAAACCTGTCACTGTTCCTCAGGCGCTACAGCCAGAGCTCTGCTGTCTGTGTTTAGCTCTGGCTGATCTGGGTTTTATCTGTCTTATATGCAGCCATCATGAATGGGCTGGTGGCTCTCTTTCCCGGAGCGACGCATGTGACAGCAGAGTTCAGGATTCGTCCAAACGTCCAGAAATATTTACTAGAAACACGTTTGACTCAGTAGTTTGTGCTCATGGGTCACACCGCTGATTTTACTCATTATCATCTTGCTGGTGAAATAATCCGGTTTATCAAAGCTCGTAATGTTTTGTAGTGAGAAAAAAAAACAAAGCAGAAGGCGAACTGAGTCCAGACGGTGGTTGTAGAGATGCATTCAGCTCAGTCAGTCTGTTCCTCAGCAAGAACTGGAGTTTAGTTTGTCTGTCGCTAACATTGGCCTCCAGCGGTGGACCGTATGGTGTCTGCTGCTCTGGGCGCTGCTGTGATGACTGTAACCATCTCCGCTTCGACTGGGAAATATCCTACATGGTTGATATTATCTGAGCAGCTCCATGAGTCTGTGAGCAGTTCAGGAGGCTTCAGACTGGATCCGTAAATTCCTCACATTTACCAAATAATCTGGGCTGAGCATCGTTCAGACCCAGATCAAAGCCCAGATTTCTCCTCCCTCTCAGGAGGGATGAAATGAGGGTAAATCAGCCCTGAGCTCCTGTGGTGTGAGCCCGGCCTACACTTTGGGTTGGAAGCTGTAAATTTATAATTGCAAGCCTGAAATTCAAACTGGAGATGTGGAGTTAAGACGATGTGGCCATTAACCAGGCAGGGGGGCTCTAATGAGAGAGTCGTGGAAAATATAGTAGAATATAGGATTCGGTGTTTCTGGAGTTGGATCCATAACGGGGACTCAGGACGCGTTCCTGAGAACTCAGAATTTCTAAATCTACTCAGACAACTGGGCTGTTTAAATTAGGACAGTTCCTGAAGTGTGGCGTTCATGCACCCTGGATGCTGTGGCATCGTTCAGGCTGCAGGCGTCCACAGACAGCTTTACTCAGGCTGAGTGAATGACAGGTCATCCAGCTGTACTGTGTTGAACTGTTGTGTGTTATATTCTGACTAAACTGAGATAAGACAGACCTTTATATCTGCCGTTTATTTTCCTCGTTTATTGCTGACGTTGTAAATAAACACGTCCTACGAGTTTCCTGTGATCAGCCGTGTTGGTTGTTTGTGAGTCTGGAAGGACTTTGGGTTTTTAATTTGGACTGTTGAGCGTGAACGCTTCCCACCTCCACCATGAGTTATTCTCAGCACAAAAACTGAAGCAGCATTAAAGTGCTGCTTCAGTTTTCATTCTGTTTTAAATGATGTGCCTTGCAATGCTAAATCACTGGCATACCACCTTAATGCCACCTTAAGTGCCCCAAGCCATAAATCTGGTAATTAACATCCCAGAAAGTGATTGCTGAGCCTCTATCGGTCCCACTATCCTTAAACTAAAAGCCTTTTACTCAGCTGGGTTTCAGCAGTGAGTGTGTCGGAGGCAGCGCCGGCGCTGCTCGGCCCGCAGGCTGTCATCTGCTCTGACAGTAAGCAGATGGGAGTCTCTGTCCGTCCTCTGGAGAGTCATGCTTGTCATTGCACTCCTCTTCCTCACGTCTTACAGTCAGTAGAAGCAGTGTGTCAGTGTAAGCCAGCACAGTCAGCCTCCCTCTTCCTCGTCCTGCCCCACATGACACTGAAGACCCTTTCTGATGCCTCAACAGTAAGCAAACAAAGCTGCCTCAGCGGTTCTGAGTGCGGCTGCAGCAGCACAGAAGGAATTTTTCCCTGAGGGGTGAATTGTGGCTCTTTGGATGCTGGCACTGAGGCTGGCTGTTGATTCAGGGCTGATTGTCCAGCTTCATTAAAAACTCGTCACCGCAGACTCAGGATTCAGACGTTTGGTTCACATGTGGTTCATCTGCAGGAGGACAGAACTCATCCTGGATCTGTCCATTGGGTCCGTGGGGTTCACCACCTACTGACAGAATCTCATGTTTACTGGATGTTAATCCCCCAACTTTGCAATCTCAGTTGTGTTTTTTGCTCGTCTTTGAAATGTGTTTGACGTAAAGGAATAAAAGTGAGTGAGGAGGAGTCGATGTCGCCGCCACAGTGGTTCTGAAACACCTCCTCACACACTGTCCCTGTGTGCTCTGTTAAATTAAACCAGCTCCAGAGTAACTTCAGCTTCCCATCAGCTCATTAGTTTTACTCTGGTCTTCATGTTTGCGTTCTAAAGGTACTCAACGGACTGTCAATTAAGTCTGCTGCATGCAGTCTGCCTCCATACTGTCTGTTTACCATGCAGCACAGACAGCCTCTCATTAGGCTGAACCTGATGGTCTGTGGGCCAGGAGCTCTCACACAGCAGCTGTGTTTGCACTGCTTCTCTTTACTCGTCATATTCATAGCAGCACACGTGTGCGTGTCTAAAACGTCATCCTGGTGTCATTACTGCTGATAAACTTCGGCTAAAAGAGCAGCAACTGAAGACACTTTTATTGTATTCATGTTATCTTCCAAATGCACAATGCAGACTTAGCTTTCTTGAACTCAGCTTATTTTGTTGCTGGAGATTGAGTTTGGTAAGCAGTGGCCTACTTTCAGTCGTATTGCAGACGAAGCAGAGCTCAGCCTGGCAGCAGACAGCCAACACAGGCTCTATCTCTCCACAGATTAATCATTCATTTGATTGAATTTTACTTTAAATTGCAGCTTGGGCTTTTTTTCTGGTCTAACTTCTAAAGCAGGTAAAATAAATACGACGTCAAGTCTGTGGAACACATGAAAGAAGTGGAAGGGCTGCAATCGTGACTGTGTTTAGAATCAGTCAAAGGAATGTACCCTGGAATACAAATACAGACCTGATGCGACGCAGCAGTTTTTCCACTCAGACAGGAGACGGTAGTGTGAAGGACTTAGTGAAGTTCCAGATGTGTAGCTGAAAGAAGACAATGATCAACAGATATGACAGGTTCTGGATGTTTTCATCACAGTCCTCACTTGTCAGCTTTTATTAAATGTTCCTGACTTGTTGTTTTGGGTTTTTTCCTCCTGCCTGCTCTGTCAGTTTGGATGTGTCAGGTTTCAGCATCATGAACACACACAAGCTGCTTCTGTTGCTCTGCTAGTTTTCAGAGAGACGGAAGAGTAGGAAGATCTGTCGGTCCGACTCAGGGCGGCGGGCAGCGCCATCTGACGAGGAGGAAAAAGGTCAAATCCAAGATGGACGTGGACTTTAGGGCAGACACCTGACGAGAGCAGACAGAAAACGTTGAGAGGTTTCCTTCTCTGTGGTGACTTTGGCTCCAGTCAAACACATTACAGTTCAATTAATGTATAAAACAGAGAAAAGGGCAACAGATGCTTTACTGCTACGAGTTTGACAAAGTTCAGCTGGAAGACATTGTGGAGGCATCAGGACTGAGTGTTTCCCCGTGCGGTCCAACGGGTTTATTTTATATCTACCCTTCTTATTTCAGTCAGTGAAAAACTCAGGATTTAAACTCTTTTAGCGCGACAGTTTGTCTTTTCATTTTATTTATCTATTTATGTGTTTATTCAGATAGTTGTGTGTGATATCTGGCTTACAGCGTACCGACTGCTCAGTTAAAACAAAAAAAAGATGCTTTCATGAGCAGGTTTATTTCATCTGCTGGGTCAAGTCAACTGACCCCAGAGCACAACAACACTCTGCTACTGTCATCTCAGCACAGGCTGACAGTGTGGGATTTTCACTGAAGATTTCTTTTTTTGTGCAAATGTCTGGAGCAGAGGCCAGCGCCATTGTTCCCTCCAAAAAAATGCACATTGTTTGATTCACTTGATAGCCTTTCCACATCTCTCCAAAGCACAGAAAACAACTGGTGTGTAGTTTAAGGAGCTTACGACCTTTCCCAGACATAGTATCTGATTATCACAGGCTGGGTTTTTGAGAAGGTCGGCTCCTTTTTTGTGTCTTGTTTCGATGGGGTGCGGAGGATACTGGTATTGGATGTGCAGGATTCCATTGTAGTTGCCTGGGAGGTGGTATTTAAGAACGAAGCTTTCGCTTCAAGGAAACCACACATGCATAAAGGAGGGGTTTGCATTAGAATAAAGCTGAAATACACAATGGGACAACTTTGAGCAGCTTGGCTGGGGTTTCACTCGTCTCTGTTCAGTGTTAAGACAGAGCTTATGTGGAGTAGTAAACGGCTGTATGAGGAATCTAAGACGTGTCCTGCCCTCCTTGACTCCTCAGTGTCTAAGAAGCACGGGAAGCTGATCACCTTCTTGCGCTCCTTCATGAAGTCCAGGCCCACCAAGCAGAAGCTGAAGCAGCGGGGCATCCTCCGGGAGAGGGTGTTTGGCTGCGACCTGGGAGAGCACCTCCTCAACTCAGGACATGATGGTGAGTAGCACTGGACAGCTGTGTGACCGTCACCGTCCGGTTAGCATGTTGTGTCCGTCAGCGTGATGCAGCCTCGATGTCTTTATCACACAACTTTAATATTCTCTGGTTCTATTTATGTTTTATCTCATTTTCTTTCATTGTGTTTGTGAGTCCTCTAACAGTGGCCAGAGACTGTTTATTCATGATTCACTTGTTAATACGTTGATGAGTTCCTCCTGATATCTGTTCTCAACACTAATTCTAATAATGTCATATACGGGGTTTTCCAACTGCTCGACTAAAAACTCTGACATTTTGCAGTAATTTGCTTTCTTGTGGAAAGTTGCATGAGAAGATTGATATGAAGTCACAGCCAGCAGCTGGTTTGCTTAGCTCAGCCGAAACACTGGAATCGGAGGGGAACAGCTAGCCTGGCTCTGTCAGACTGTATAAATATCTCTGGAGCTCACTAACTCATCAAGTTAAATCCCATTAGTTTAATCAGATTCAAAAGAAAACAAAGTTTTACGGAGGGGCAGGACTGTTTCTCGGCTGGTGCGGTGACTTCCTGGAGGCTGGCTGGCAGCCTCACAGTAAATCAAGACTTAATTGAAGTGTCTGCGCCCAGATAAGAAGTCGTCCCTGTGACACATTAGCTGATGGTTTCCAGTTGACAGTCACAATGTGCCATCTGAAAGCAGATATTCACCTTGTGCTGCGTGTAGGCCGTAGCTCTGCAGCTCGATGTGGCTGTAATTAAGATGTTTGTTGGGCTAAAGTCTATACGTACATTTATCTGCTACAGACACATTGATTTTCTGAGCGCTCAGCAGCCTGGTGTCTGGCAGGTGAGCTGATGTGATGGTCTCAGTGACGGAGTGGGGGGATAATGGTGTCCTGATTACACTGTAGCACCAGCTCTGACCAGTTTAATGATGCTACTCTGCTGTTGAGCCTTCATCAGTCATGTCACTCCAGTAATGTTGACACCAGTTGAAAACCCCATTTGCTCACGTTCATGCGTCATCTTGTGGACATGACATGTTCTCATCTTCCCGGCACATTAGCTCACAGTGAGTCCTGTCTGCTTTACTCTTGTATGGATCAGCGCTGGTGTTTATGGAGGAAGGAGTCGATCCTCGACCTCTGTACCTTTGTCTTGACATGCAGAGATAAGACACCGTGTCACACTTTGCTGGGTCGAGTTGTTCAGTTTTGTTGACGTTACAGATGAAACTGATTTTGAGGAGTAAAGAAACACGTGATCATGGATTCCACGTTGTAGATGTCTTTCTAAAACATGCTTTATTATTCATTTTTAGCTTGTATGTTGAAAATAATCCTCAGTAAAATTAGTTTTAATCAACAAAACAATTTTTCAGTTTTGGGGTTGTTTTTTTGTTTTTCCAGATTTGAACAGAGAGCTAGACTTCTTTTTTGTTCTCTTGCTGCTTCTTACTAACCAAGACTTTGGTAGAAAGCTCAGAGTAAAAGCAAAAAGCCTCGGCTCTATGAAACCCAGTTGATTTTACTTTTATTCCTGGACCCACTGTGATCTGAGATTCTGTGGTAGCTGAGAAAGAAAGCGCCGGTTGTTTTGTTAACTAGCCTTATGTCAAAGAAATACCCAAAAATGCAAAAGACTTTTCAGAGTAGTGTTCAGGATAACGTCTGTAGTTAGTCGATTAAAGCTGCAGGCTGCGTGTTCTGGTCAATTATTTCAGTAAATAGAACATATTTAGCTCAATGCACACATGAAGTGATTCCACCTGAAATCATCAGGAGTCTTCTGCTTCACCAGCTAATACTTTTAAGGATTCATTTTATGTATTTATTTACTTTTTATCATTGACTTTTGAGGCTATGTTTTCACAGCAATATTTAAGAAAGTATTAAAGATAAAAGCCTGACGTTTGTTACTGTGACAGTCATCAGCAACACTGGACAAGAAATTGTCTCTGATTGTTGGTGAGTTGACAGATTTGAACAAAGTAAAGCTGCCGTCAGCAGCTCCGTCTGTGGTCACATGTTGACAAAAAAATGATGAAGTCATTCTTGGCTTAAAATGGCTTCTCTTGCTGTGTCAACAGTAGAAATATGCTTTGCTCATGGCTACGACGCTTCACAGAAGAAACTAGAGCAGCCTGATGGAGGCCGATGGGTCACCTGGTGAGACAGGGCAGGTGTTAAAGGAACGGCATCATAACATCTGCAGTTTTTATTTTATACGTCCAAGATTATAAACCAGAACAATAAATAAATCAGGGTTTTTACCTTGTGGGACATTCAGAAGAGTAGTTTACCAGATTAAAAACAACATCTCTGAATGCTGTTGTTTTGACTAGAATTTAAGAGGATAAATTCTGGTTCTGTGTCCAACACCAAGTCCACATTCAAACACACACACAGTGCATCTCTGAGATAAGACAACCTCGTGACAAAATCTCCCCGTGTGACGAACTTGAGGAGGATTTATCCGCCCTCTCAGTCGTCTTGTCCGCCAAAGAATGCCAACGAGTTTCCTCAAATCTTGTTTTCTCTTCGGCGATGTGTGGAATTTGTCTGAACAGCTGCTTCGGCTAGTGTCCCACTCTCTGTCATCCTGTGAATGATGTGCGAGCTGTGGGAGGCCTGGGAACCTCCTTCAACGCATACGCAGGCTCCTTATCTCCTGTACACACACACACACACACACACACACACACACACAGATAGATGAACAACATGTCTCTAAGATTCATGGCTGCTGAAGGAGAATGAAGAAGCTCTGTGTTTTTCTGAGGTTTTTCTTTTTTTGTCCGTCCGTCTCGAACACACAATCACTGGCTTGGTGCTTTGAAGCCGCCTCACGCAGACAACAACATGTTATCTCACTGTTTGCTTTGTCCGTAACGTTGCACTGAAGCAGGAAAAAAAGGTTAAAGGACATCCAGCAACTAAAAACTACAACATTGTTGGAACTGCTTGGTATATATTTCTGTATATATCTGTGTCCACTTAGTGTTCAGATATTTCCACCCTCAGCTCCCAAACTGCTCGTTACTCGCACTCAGTGTTCCTACTGAGCCAGAAAAGCTCACATCCTGACCCGACACTTCAAAAAACCAAAAGCCGTCCTGTTCTTGACCCTGTAGCTGGACCGGACAAATATTGACTAGAAGAGGTGACGCGCTGTTCTTTATCTCTGTCGGCAGTGCCCCAGGTTCTCAAGAGCTGCACCGAGTTCATCGAGAAGCACGGCGTGGTGGACGGCATCTACCGCCTCTCTGGAATCGCCTCAAACATCCAGAAGCTGCGGTAAGAGGACGCACGCTGATCGGTGTGCACGGCTTGACCCAGAATCTGATTTAAGTGTGTCTGAGGGTATCTGTGCTGCTTCTGTAGAAATGTTTTCTGTCATAGGGGGAGCTCACGCATCTAATCCCAGCCTGGCTCTCATCCAGAAACTGATATTATACGAATTCCAGCCGGGATTATTTCATCTGTAACAGAAGGAGTGACTTTGACTCTAACAGTTGTTTTCTTCAGCAGCTCTTACTCCCTGATGGTGTCAGAGATCAGAACTGGTACCTCGGTCGCTCTTACAGCTTGTAAAAGATAATGTATGTTTTAAGGACATGCTAAACAAGCATTGTTTTTGCTCTGCTGTTAGGTTTCAAAGGGTAATATATATATATACGAGATGGGATCGTACCCGACCAGCAGGCGTCCTGTCCATTCAACAGTTTGATTGTCCAGCAGCCAAACTCCAGAGAACACAGACGATCAAATAAAACTAGTCTCTCTATTTAATACACCATCGTTTAGATTCTTCCTGTTCTGTTCTGACCTGTTGGGCCATGGACCCGGGACCTCCGGGGGGCCTGTGGTGTCTGTACAGGTCCTGGGGGTTTTCGATTGAGGCCTCTGTGGATTGGGTTGTGTTCCCCAAACCCTTTCTGGACAGTTTGCCTGCTGGTTGAGGCTGATGCCGTTGGTGGGTGTGCCGGGTTTAGATGGATGGTACTCAGGACAGTGTGTGTCTGAGCAGAGTAACGATGGGCAGGCTGGCAGACCGACCCTGAACCTTCACTACATAGGTTTGGAATAAAAGTCATTAAAAATACAGCACCAGTCAAAGTTTGGGCTCACATGTGAACTGAAACTCATTCCAGGCGACGACCTCATGAAGCTGGTCAACACTGTGCAAAGGTGTCATTTTTGAGGAATCCAAAACATGAAGCTGCTGCTGCTTTGTTTACTACACCATTCCATGTGCGGTGTTTCCTATTTTTGGCATCTTGAGTTTGTTTTTTCGTGATAAGTCGGTGTGTTGACTCTGCCTCTGCCCTCCATCCCTTTCATCAGGCACGAGTTTGACTCGGAGCAGATCCCTGACCTGACCAAAGATGTTTACATCCAGGACATCCACTGTGTCGGCTCGCTGTGCAAGCTCTACTTCAGAGAGCTGCCCAACCCCCTGCTCACCTACCAGCTCTACGAGAAATTCTCTGTAAGCAAAGACTCTCAGGATGAAACACTTCTCACAGACAATGTGTGGATACAAGACTGTTAGCTGCTACAGCAGCGTTTGGGTTGTTTGTTGCTTTTTCTGTTTAACAATGCCCCAGAGACATTCCTGGATCCCAGCAGGACTCAGGTTGGGTTTGATTGACAGTCCTGACTTTGAATTTCTGCCTGTTTTCTACAGAAAATAAAAGAAATTCCTCTGGCTTATCTTATAGGAATTCTTGAAATTCATGCTACAGCTATGAGCCACAGACATCCCTAAAATAATAGCATTGCACTTGACACACCCTGTCATTACAAATGCAGCAAACCACTCTGTGTGACTTGGAAATAAAACCTTCTCCAAGCACAACAGAGCCGTCCCCGAGGATGGAGTAAATGTTTGCTGGTTGTTATGGCAGCTGGGGAGAGGAGGGGGGCTTCGTGGCTGCAGACTGATGTCCCCTCTGTGGTCCATGCAGCCGCCAGAACCAGAGGTGTCAGAGAATGAGCTTCATGTTGCTGCACTGGTTCGTCCCACCGTTTATCTCCCTATCTTTGTTTTCCCTCTGAAGGAGGCTGTATCAGCAGCGACGGACGAAGAGCGACTCATCAAAATCCATGATGTCATCCAGCAGCTTCCTCCGCCGCATTACAGGTCCGTGTAGAGACACACTGCCTCCTTGTGGCAGGCGTAGGAACAGCCAGCCTCCAGATGCATTGTGAATTCACGTCAGTTGTGTGTGTCTGCTAGTGTTAGAGTCAAGGCTTTATGTAATGCCACGCTGCATCGAATGGAATCATTTAACAGGTCCCTGCTGACCTTTGCGTTGGTCATGATGAATTGAATTTCCCATCCTTTGTGAAAGCATACAAATGCAAATGTCCAGGTGCCATTCTACAGGGATTTGAGCACACACTGAAACATTGATGCTCCGAAGAAGCACTTCTATCATGGCCATTAGTCTGCACATCACTAGCGGAAGCCAATTAAATCTGAATAAATGAATATTTGATTCCTAGGACTCTGGAGTTCCTCATGAGACACCTCTCCCGCCTGGCAGCGTTCAGCTACATCACCAACATGCACAGTAAGAACCTGGCCATCGTCTGGGCGCCCAACCTGCTGAGGTGAGAGGTCATCCTGCTCTGCAGAGTGCTGTCTGGATGTATGCTTTTCATTGTGCTGAACACACTGCACACGATCACCTTAAAGTCTTCTCTCAACACTCAGCTGAAGACTTCCAGTTCCCTGTAATTCTATATGACTGAGTACATCTGTACATGATTCTAATGGTCTTCGTAATTTGATGTCTGTGTGGGTTTTTCATACTTCACACCCTAACAAGTTCTTAGGCTTGAATCAGCTTTGATGATAGGCTGCAGAAAATACCCTGTCTGCTGCTTGGAATGAGTCATTCAGCCTGAGCTGACAGATGAAAGCAGCTGTTTGTGGGAGGACGCTGTTCAGCATCAACTCAAATGCTTCTCTAAATTATTTCACACAAGTTGTGTAACTTTAAATCTAACCACCATTCCTTTTTATTTCATTCTTCTTCTCTCCCTGTTGCTTGCTGTTTGTTGTCTTAGATCGAAGCAGATCGAGTCTGCGTGCTTCAGCGGCACGGCGGCCTTCATGGAAGTCCGCATCCAGTCGGTCGTGGTGGAGTTTATTCTGAACCATGTGGATGTGCTCTTCAGCACTAAACTGAGCTCACTAATTAGAGAAGGAGCAGGTAAATACAGACTCTAGACGGCTGTGTAGACTCTGCCAGATATACTGTGTACTTCACCATTAATCTCATGACTTCCACATCTCCAGGTCACAACTCCTTGTCAAGGCCCAAGTCCCTGCTGGTTTCATCACCCTCTACCAAACTCCTGAGTCTGGAGGAGGCTCAGGCCAGGACTCAGGCTCAGATCAACTCTCCAGTCACTGAAGACAGCAAATACATCGAGGTGGGCGAGGGTCCAGCTGCCCTGCAGGGCAAGTTCCACACTGTCATCGAGTTCCCCACCGAGAGGTCTGTTGGCTCCTCCTGCTCTCATGTCATATTTTGTCCTCATTGTACCGAATATAAAATGTAAATTAGACATTTTTCAGAGCACAGCTCCAGAGTGTACATGTAGTGACAAACCAAGCAACAGTCAGCTGACAGTAAATAAAACTCCTGGAATGTGTCTCCCTCTGCTGGAGTCCTGCTCCTCGTTCAGCAGGTTGAACCCTGTCTGTGGACATGATCGGATTTTACACATGGAGAGTTGTTGAGATTGTTCAAGTTCATGAAGCTAACTGCCTGCTCGTCTGCCACCATTGTTAATTATAGGAAGAGGCCTCCTATTAAATCCAAGAAGTCTCCTGTGGGTAGTTGGCGCTCTTTCTTCAACTTGGGAAAGTCTTCCTCTATGTCCAAACGCAAGCTGCACCGTAACCCCAGTGAGCCCAACGAGCTGAAGGCTATGGCTCTGGCCGGTGAGTCCTCACTTCACAGCTAACATGAAAACAGTCCTAAGCAACTTTGAGTTGTGCAACAACAGAAGCTTAATTAAGGCCGATAGTGATGCGTGCTAATTGTGGTGTTTCAGGAGGCAGAGGAGACACGGCAACATTAAGGTCGGCCAAAAGTGAAGAGTCACTGAGTTCCCTGCACAATGTTGAAGGTAATCATCTGTGTCCTCCAGCTCACTTTGACTCAGCATAACGAGCTTCATCAGTCAGTGCTGCTCATAGCAAATTACAAATCCTCTTCCTGCAGCGTGGCTGCTGTTACACAGAGGATATTATTTCTGATTATGTTCTTTTCCTCCTTCAGGGGAGTCCAAGGTGTACCGTCCTCGGCGGCCGCGCTCCAGCAGCGATGCTCTGTCAGCCTCCTTTAACGGGGAGCTGCTGGACAGCCGGCAGCACTGCAACTCCTACGATAACCTGGACGCCACAGAGGACAGCGATGGAGACGACGGGCCCATCTGTGTGCCTGCCCTCATCTCACCTCCCCGCTCAGCAGGTGAAGATGTGGACCTCAGCCCGCCAGACATTGGCATGGCCTCCTTGGATTTTGACCCCATGTCTTTCCAGTGCAGCCTCCCAGACACCTCCTACGCCTTCCCCTTAGATGACTCACCGTCCGGGGCAGAGGGCTCCACGTTAAAGAGGAGCCCTGGCAGCGTCTGTGGCAAGACCAATGGCTCTGACCTCATCTCTGCCTCCTTCCTGGGCAGCTTAGCTTCGCCCTTGTTGTCCACAGACTTCAGCCTGGCTGCTGGAGAGAAAGCAGAAAGCAAGAAACTGACCACTTCTTATTCCTACACTGATAAACCTACACAGGCTGTGTCACCTATTAAATGTGGAAAGTCCACCAGTTTGACACCTTTTGCCACTTCAGAGCTTTTCTCCACTAAGACGCTTGACAAGAACACAGCCGGACAGGTTGTCTCTCCGCAGCCATTATCTCCTCCGTTGATACCCAAGGACTCTCCTCCCCTGATGGGCAGCGTGCTGCTGAGGGCAGCCGAGCCGTCGCTTAGTGAAGCTTTTCAGATGGAACTGCACTCTAAGCTGGCAGCCTTCGACAGCGTGGACAGTCGAGAGCTAAAGGGAGACGACAGCGTGCAGCAGGCCCCGGCTGCCAGCAGTCAAGAGCACCAAGGTAGGATCAGAGATCCACCTCTGTAACGTTTGGCTTGTTGTGTTTCCACTGTAGTTTAAAAACAACATGATGTGAATGTGTTTCCATGAGGGTTAGTGTGCCAGCTCTGCATGGATTTCATCTTAAATCAGTGTTTTCTCATGATGCCTGAGCTTCATTTTTCCTCTCATTCCCACTCTTGAAGCACCTTAAACCTGCCTGCCTGCTGTCTCCATCACCTACTCGTTCATTCACTCTTCAACTATAGACCCCTTGTGTTTCTGTGTTCCTGCTAGGAGTCGTAGCTCCGGACTCTTCAAAGGACCTCACCCCTCGTTCCCTCAGCTCTACAGCTCCCACCTCTGCCCCTCCTCCTCCACCTCCTAAAAATGCTGCCCGCATGTTGGCCCTGGCCCTCGCTGAGTCTGCCCAGCAGGTCTCTATTCAGTCTCAGTCCAGGTCCTCTGAGCCTCCCACGCCGGTGTCCCCTCTGCAGCCACAGGAGGCCTGTAGCTTCCAGGACTTTCCATATCCAGTGGTCCCACATTTCCAGGCTTCCCCAGAGGAAGGAGCAGACAGAGGAGGTTCCCCACCACCAAGCAGCACCTCTATGACTGTCATCACAGCCTCATCTTATCCCTCTGCTTCCAGTCCCCCTGTCACACAGCAACCACGAGAACTAACCAGCACAATTACCAAGCCATCCGACAGTGCCAAGCCCTCTGCAGCTCCAGCTGGTGCGCAGCCAGAAACAGACTCCGCCTCACCAGACACTCCACTTTACAAGTGTGCCCCCCTCTCCAGTTCAACCAGCTTGACTTCTCCAACCAGGAAAAGTCCAGAAAGGCAGCAGACTGTCACAGGACCAGCCGCAGTTCACACCAGCTCATCCAGTACCACTCCAGCCACCACCCCCAGTGGCAGCTGCAAAGACACTGGACTCTTCCCACAGCCTGAGGTAAATGTCAGATCAGTCCCATGTGTGGATTGTGGGCAATATCATTTTGATATTTGGATTTTTTTTGCTTTTGTAAGCAAGCAGCTAGCATTGTAGCATGAGCCCACTGCCTTAAAGGGATAGTTCAGTGTTTAAAGGAGTGGGTAGGATTATGTGCTTTTTGACAGTTTAAGTTTAGTTTAGTTCCTCTTTGGGGCCTAAAACTAATTTCTCTAAAACATTTTTTCACTCCTGGGAAATCTCTATTTTGAATTGGAAAAAAAAAACACCTTATTTAGGGTTCAGTAACTCACAGCACTGAAACGTTTGATGACAATATTGTTTCCAGCAGATCCAAATGACTGACTGGCTCCAGCATAGGCCACATTTTTATTGGCCTGTAAACAAAACAAAAACTAAACAAAACAAACAACAACCATACATATATATAGTAAGATATTCGCTACTGAAAATACAGCCTTTGGTCAACATTTATCTAACATCAGTAGAAAAGTAGAAGCAATACAAACATGTTCAACACACAATGAGGATTTGTGGCTTAATGCTGCTGCTGTAGGAGGAGCTCAGGAACCACAGCAGACAGACTGGTAACACTGGGCAGCATCCAGCACAGGTGTGTGTGTGTGTGTGTGTGTGTGTGTGGGGGTACAACTGTTGTTCCCCTATGACTGTTCTCAACTTGTGTGTTTTTTTGGTTTTCTTTTTTGCTCCAGGTCAAACCAGAAGAGACCGCACCTCCCCCAGTCCTTCCAAAACCATCAGAACAGCCACCTCCAACAGCTCAGAAGCCCAAAAAGCCTGCCGTCTCACTGCCCCAAAACCAAACACAAGCTCAGCAGCAGAGCCAAGTCCACATACAGCCTCATCTTCCAACTCAGCCTCCGTCTCAGGCACAGCCTCATCCTGCGGCACAAACTCACATGCAGTCCCAGACACAAATTCAGCCCCAGTCCCAGCTGTCCAAGGCCAGCGCCAGAGTGGCGCCCACCTCCGCTGAGCCTGTAGAGAAGCCTTGGGAGGCCATAAAGCCAGTACAGCCCTGTACAGAGTCTGCAAAATATCATGACTCCTATGGACCCACACCTCCAGCGCCTCCTGTCCGCACCATCGAGAGCAAACTGGCCACAGCAGCACTCAGCCAAAGTGAAGCCTCCTTCCACGTCCTGGCTGAAGGCCCTCCACCCAGCCATCTGGAAGACGCTGTGCCTCACCATCCTCTTTCACCTCGTAAATCTTCCACACACCAGCCAGCCTACCTGTACCATGCTAAAGGAGAACAGCCTGTCTTAATTGAACCTCCAGGAGCTGCTTACTACCACCAGAGGCCTGTTCCTGTGGGCCCACAGTCCATGCCACACCACTACCGACCAGACAGCGTCCCTCCACACTCCTACGTGTCCAAGTCTGAGCCTCAGATACCTTACAGTGCCCGAGTAGATAACCGATACAGCACTTTAGGCCCCAGGTCATACCACTACTCCATGAAGTCCAGAGGAAACCCCCGGAGTGTCTACGTATCTCCGGGACCAGGGCATCAGGGTTACAACCATGACAGAACCCACGGCTATCCCACCATCCGCAGAGTGCATTCACTCCACGTTCCTTCCACTATTCGCTCAGTGCCCATCCAAAGGACTGAAGTTCCACCAGATGATGACATGTTCTTCTACCACCGGCCTGTGTATCAGTGCAAAGCCTACCAGCAGCCCCAGCAGCAGTCCTCGCAGGCCGACTACCACGTCACCCAGCTGCAGCCTTACTTTGAGAACGGGCGGGTCCAGTATCGCTACAGTCCATACTCTGGTTCAAGTCCTCTGGAGGCCCCTTACTATGACATTGACCCTTACGGCACTATAAGGGTCCGGCATTTCCACACCTACGGCAGCCGAGAGCCCGGAGCCGCTGCTGGGCGACCGGGTGGAAAGGCGACTGGGTACCACTACCTCGCTCGCCACGTTCTCCCGCCTGGTAAGGAGCACAGCTTTGTGAGCCGGGACATGCCCCCTGGTCACGGGGCCAAGGAAGCTGCTGCTTACCTTGCCTGGGACCCAGAGGAGTCAGAAAGGCTTCGCATGCACTCCATCCGCAGGGAAAGCAGGGCCAGACTGAAGATTAAAGGCCCTGTCCTGTCGCAGTACGACAACGTGGGCTTGTTCACACCAGCAGATATATCAGGCTATGAAACCCTGCACCTGCGCAGTAAATCTGACCCAGGTAAAGCTGTGCTGGTCGCGACTGAGAGCAAAGACGGCCGCTACCTCCCCAGACACATGGTGTCCGATCCTGACGTCCTCATGTACATGGAGACTGAAAAGCATGTCGGCGCAGTGGGCGACAAGTCAGACGGGCTCTCCAAGCAGAGCGGCTCCAAGAAATGCCAATCATCTCACTCCCTTCCTGCTACTCTGAGCCACAGCCTCTCCCATCAGCAGGAGAGCGGCCGTCACGAGGCCAAGTACGAGACTGGAGACGACAAGCTGGGAGGAGACAGCGGCAGGTCGAAACACTGGCAGCAGGAGTATTCCAGCAAGAGGAACTTCCAACCACGTTACGAGTGCCCTGATTCTGACCACCACCAGAGTAAAGTAAAAACATCAAGCGGCTACCACAGTACAGACGACCAGCCGTCGGCTCCCAGGGAGCAGCTCCCTCGCTCCAAGCCGGAGCGATCACACAGCGTTCGAGAGCAGCAGCACTACAGCCAGGGCAAAGCAGACCTGGACAGAGACTACTCATATCAGAAACACGGCACTAAAACGGTGCAGTCCCACTACGATAACTTGGACGATTACCACCCAGTACCTCAGCCTCAGGCCCCTGTTCAAAAACGTGGAGGCTCCAGCACCTACCCAGCCCCAGGATTCACAGTGAGCCACAACAACAGAGCGTACTCCACAGCACTGGGCCAGGGAGCCTTCATCCAGACTGAGCTGGCCATGCAGAGGCCAGAGACAGAGATACGTACAGAATGAAGCATTTAGTGGAAATTCTCTTTAGCTGTGTAGAAGAAAGACTCTAGCGATGGTTGAGCAGCCTCTGCAGGACAGTGGACTGTTGTATCACCAATATTTTTGCTTCTCTGTATTTTTAATGAATTGTAAAGAATATTGTAAGACTTTTTACAGAAAGTCCTGAATGTACCTGATATTATTGTCCATGAGGTCATGTTCTTGTGATTGATTGAGGCAGTAACCAGTCATAAATGTATACGACATGAAAGACGTGAGGTACTTTTAACAGGAACCACAAAAATGTAAAATATATATACTATATATATATATATATACTATATATATATATATACGGATAGAATGACTAGTAAAAAGGGATTTTTAGTTGTATTTGGTTTTTCTGTTTGTTTTTTTAGGTGTGGCGCTGGGTATGAGCATCAACTGGGACTAAGGTTTGCATTTTAGAAATGCATGCATTCTCTATCTCTTACAGAACAGTTCTGTGTACTTCTCTATCCGTTGCGTTCTTTCTGGATGTTACAGCACAAGTAATGAAAGGAGGACACACGTAGGTCACCACACGCTGATACGTACACAAGCCGGCGGTGCAGTGTGTCCACGCTGAGGAGTTCGGCAGAGCGCGAGGGTGGATGAGGGTCTGCGATGGGTTCTTTTGAGTTCATGTAGTGGTTATCAATGTCTTATTTTCTCTGTGACTGTGCCATTTTTATGTAACTTTGCTATAAACAGATTTCAATGACTTCTAATGGAATGTTTTGGTACTTGTCAGTTCTTCATTAGAAGAGGGACCAAACGACTTGGCACAGTTCTTGCACATATGGGATAAAGTCGGAAAGGTGGACGAATGCCTGTTGTAGCTTCAGAAGTGTAGGAGGTTATTTTTATTTCCTTTCTTTCATCACGTTCGTGGTACTTTGGTAAACTGGACTAACTGAATAAAGCTGAAGGCAGTGTCCTCTCGAACAGCGTGGTGAAGAACACGTCGCCGCTGCTTCGTGGAAATCTCTGTGATGAGCCTTAACTTGTGTTCCTACAGGCCCTTTTTTCTGTCATTGTCAAGTCCATTGTCATAATGCACAAACATTGCGATGTCTAGGTTTAAGATCACTTCTGATGATTCTTGACAGTTCAGGGTTGACAGGTTATTTAGTTTCGTATCACCTCACCGGTTCTGAATTTAAAACGACGAGGGAGGGACATGTTTTTTTAGGGGGCCATTTTTTCAGGCTGGAAATTAATGTATAGTACATTCATCTGGTATTATACGACACACCCGTCTGGGTTAGCATAATGGATGGATTACAATATGTTTCAAATATGTCTAAATCCAGGTTGTACTCTGTAACTGTTTGACTTCTATATCGCTTGCAGGTTTTGCTCCTCTTGCCTTATCTAAACCTCTACCTGTTCAGATGGGGCGTTGAAGTAAGGCACTGTGTACTTGAATGTGAAAACACTCTTGTCTCAAACTAGAGGTATCTAAAGTCAGATATAAAATAAATAAAACTGTTCAGGAATAGCTAGAATCCATGGCTTTTACTATGTGGATATGCATGATGTTTGTAACACACCTCACAGCTCGCTGAGAGGGAACAGCGTTAAACATTGACATCAGAACCTACTGAAGGGGTTTCAGTCAGCTGAGAAGGACGTTTCTATGTATTTTTTGTCCTCTGAATCAAAGATCTTATCCTAAGTTTATCCTAAACCATTACTGACATCACAGTAGAGTGGTGTGATCCCAAAGTGCTGCTCTGAGAAAATAAAGTGCTTAAACCTAAAGATCCTGCCTCCGGCCAGACGGCCTATTTTTATCACCAAAGGAAAAGCATGCTGACAGATCTCTGTTTGTGCCACCGTCATGTCCAGGTTATGGGATGAAACAGCTCGTGTGCACAAAAAACAGGACTGAAACCTTCATCCAAGTCCACTAGATCTGCCTCAGCTCTAGTGCATGCTCCCTCCTCTTTATCCTGTCGCCACTACCTCTTGGTCACGTGCAGACGAGACCCATCTCCACCTTTCAAAAGGCCTCTCTGTAGTCACCTGATCCGTGCTTTCCACCCACCGAACTAAAACGGGTGCAGACACATTTTTCTAAACTTCACTGCACCCTGGTTGTAGTACTGCAGCTGTAGCACTGCTGTCAAACTTCTGTGTGTACAAACCTTTGCTGCCCACTTCCTTATCCAGAGACCTCCGTACGGACCAGTTCTAGACAAGCTGCAAAGTCCTCCTCACTACCTTCAGTGTCTTAGCTCCTCTGTACCTCGCTGATCTCATCCACAGCTCACCTGTTCAGACTTGCTTTCCAATGAAAATACTATATCTCTGCAGGATAGTCCATAATGATGCTCCTACTGACTTCTTATCTGCACCAGAGCTGATGAACATGATCCCCCCGCAACAAAAGTTAGAAGAAGGTTTCTCTATATCTCTATCAATAAATAGTTTATTTCATGATGTAACTGCACTGTGTTGGATTTCTCCTTTAAGACAAACGACTGGTGAAAGATAGACGAGCTGTTTAAACTTCACATAGACATCTGTGGTTATACGAGTCTAACATTTAGTTTCCAAAGCGTCCACTGATGCTTTACATTCTATTTTCCAGAGAAGTAAAAGCGAGGGAACACAAAACAAAAGACTCTCAAACTCAAATTGCTGCAAATAAAGAAGTCACCGTTCTACCTCCAGGGCAAATACATGATGTGAAGCCCCGACCTCTGGAGGAAGTTTGCTTCAGTTTTCCTCACATGTCACATCTCTTTCTGTCTTTAGTGAGGAGTTTAGACTTGAACTTGATTTTTTTTTTTTGCTGTTTGGGAAATCAAAGGCCTGCAGCTACCTAAACTAAGTGTTTTGGTTCAGACATGTCATTAGATGGCATCCCACATGTTGACTACTAAGTGATCTGTGCTGTGATGTGAGGCTGTGAGAACACATGAACAAACAGAATACCGTATAAAAGAGAAGCTGCATATGAATCAGGCCGATGGGGGCCTTAACAAATGATTAGAAAAATAATTTAGCTTCTTCAGGGCCGAACATTCATCCTAACATGAAGGTCTGCAGTGAATCAAAGCAGTTTTTAGCTTCAGTGTTCACTCCAGCATGAGTGATTTCAGCATGTATACTTAAATCTTATCCACATCAAACAGAATATGTGTAGAACTGATGCCACCACAAGACGTGAACCTGTGAGGATGGCGTTGACGTGCCAGCCTGAACCTTGCAGCTCTGCCATAGGTTGGCTTTCCGTCCTCTTTCATATCCTGACCAGCGATCAGAGACAGAAGTGATTCTGCTTGATGAATAATGAAACATGTCAGATTGATCTAACGGCAACGACTACATTAAAAATTCTTATTGTGATCTCACATGGATCAAATAGTTATTCTGAGTATATTACACGTCCATAAATACGAACATGCCTGTCACTGTCAGTAAGTGCATCTGTTTTAATATCTGCTGCTGAACTGTGTGATGTGTGAACATATCAAAGTATACCATTGGCATGAATATTCAAGATTTCTGTTTAAATTCAAACTGGATGACTCCTGAGAACAATATCCACTTCCTGTTAAAAACACACGTACGTGAGACGTCTGCTTCAGTGGACACTAAAGAGTAAATAATAGTTGCTTTATAACGACGTCTTTCATATAAAACTAAATGTTTAATCTTAAAAAGGGGAATCATGTTATTTTGGTCAACTCATACTTGTGCACAAGACGAACTTTATTTCCAAACTTTGATGATAGTTTAACTTTAGCTGCAACATAAATATTACATAACTCACACATAAAGTACTTTTTAAAATGGTTTGAATATTAACAATCTATAAATCAAGCATCTAAATCATTTCATCTATGAGAGGGAATCAAAAGAAATGGTGCTGAGGTACGTTGATCACTGACAACACAAACTAAGCCTCTGTGGGTTTTGCTTACATTAGAATGTGTTCATATGAAGTGTTTTACTGTTAACAGGAGTCATTGTGGAGGTTTATTCATCAGACTGGACAAAAACATCACAGATATTCTTCCTGTAAGACGTGAAAGTGTCACAGAGAACATGTCTGTGTGCTGCGTAGCAGGAAGCCCCCCGCTGGTTTCAATACTCTGTTATGTCACATGTTATTATCAGCTTCTACAGGCTCCTACAGGCTGTGGTCGCTGCTTCCAGGTTTTCTATGTGAAAACTAGAGCAGCCCTGATTATTGGTGTTTGGACATTTTTTATTATTTATCGTTCCCAAGATGTGTGTGTGGCTATAGCCATATGTATCTCTATATA